CCGTAGATTCAACAACGCCATGAACTTGACCCCTTTGTTAAGTCCAATGTTTTCATTTGTACACCACATAGCTAAAAACACAAAAATAAAGGAAGTATCATTGTAATAGCTACATTTGCACAACAAGAGTAAAATTCACCACTGGGTATGGCCTTGATACCCGATTTTATGCAGATTCATTCGTGACCTAATTGGATTGCTACAGACTAAAAGTGACCACGTAAACGTAAACGAATCGGATGACCTTCGCAAATGTTTACGACTTACCCATTCAAATTCGTGGTCTTGTGAGATATCGAAGTGTATTTTTTCTACCCGGTTTTTTCCGGTAGTTCAGTAATATTAGTGAAAATCCTAGGATGTAAGTCTGCGATTATGGCATGCTTTTTTCTTGTCTCTGGTATGACTAGCTGATATGTATCGTCATTAGTTTCTGCCATTGGGCATTCAATACATTGAACAAGCTGAAGCATCTGCATCGACCCAACTTCAATAATTCATGCTGTAATTTTGCCCAAGCATCAACCGCTCTTAATTTTAGTGGTCATGATCACTCAGTTTTGAGAATGTGTTTAATATCATCTTATGATCATTCTCAAACACTGGGAGATATTCATCGGGAATATACAGAGTATTTGCTAAAGAATATTTCTTTAAGCACAGGGCCAAGTATGTTGCTACTTTAACGAAAAAGGACCGCAGTGGTAAATTTGTCAAAAGTTTATAGGAAATGGCGCATTATTTAGCAAATTAGATAGGACTTTTTAATTGACCACCCGTTACCAGCGTTAGAATATATGCGCGGGTCTCGCAAAATACAATCTGCTTAAAATAAGCAGAAAACGATTATTTATCAAATGATGGATCCATTATAACATACTTTAAAATCGTGTTCAGATTCAAGTAAATGGATGCCGAAATAACTCCGACTTATACCTGAGAGTTACAGAGGCCAATTCGCCTCATCTGACTTGCGCAGATGTCTGAGAAAATAAGTCACAATAAATTAGTATTTCCCATCTTGTCTAGTCTCACAATTGTGTGCACGCACGAACCTGCATATTATAGTCTTCTCTGTCATGCCTACATTT